AATCCCCGCGGGATCGTGTATGCTTCTCGGAAATACTCTCCAAAGAAACCAAAACCTTTCAAAAAAGGCTTGTCAAATTTCAACCCCGAAACAAATATAATCTAAAAAAATCTGCTACATGGTACTGGGATATTAAGCTCAATGTCCTAAATAGCGAAATGTCTTTAATTAACTACGATGTACAGTTTTTTATATAAAAGTAAAGAGTATATACAATATCGCTCTTGAACGCAACAAAGAGACATATACTATATACTATATAAAGTAGAAAACCTAGTTACAAGTTGCGTGGCTTTTTCTTCATTTATTCTATTTATATATGTCATATATATACGTAATCTTATACGAGATGGATCAAGCACAGTCATAGTCAGAGTAAACGCTGGATGACACTAAGGCTAGCACAGTCAAAACAACACGACTTAAACAATGTTGTAACAATTCATTCCACGAGATAAAAAAACGGGGTTATTACCCTGAATAAGAGGGATTTCACAAACCCTATAGTTGTCAGAAACTTGAATTGAAATTTTACTACCAAATGATACAATTTATACACCAAAACGTTACATGCTAAGTTCTGACGTCATTCGAGGGCGTGCGCCTAACTCATCACGTCATAATACTCGCACCTCAGGCATTCATCTCTCAACAATACAAAAATACTGTGTAGCTATTTACGGGGATAATAATTTCAATTGAGTGTACAATATTCTTAAGTCACCCATTCTTAGGATGATATGGATTGTTCGAGATGAGATGTAGTCAACTTCGCATCCTACCGTTTCAAACTAGCTGGGATGGATCTACAGTATTAAACTAGAACTCATTCACTTGGGTTTCAAGTCAAGGGTTAAGAACGATGTCAACATTTCGACGGAAAACTGCAAGGAGATTATGTAGACTGTTGTGTTTCGCGTGTCATTTTGTACCTCTTGCAAGGCAATTTAATTTACCTTGCATGACATTTTCATAGCGTTAGATTAATAATTATATAAGAATCCTTTTCGAAAAAAATATTTATAAAAATAATAATAATATATCAAAATCGTAATCATAATCATAACTTCTCAGCATTTTTATTGTCCATTGAATTGGACATCTTTTATTTCAGTCATGTTCAATTTAGACCACTTTTAAAAGACTCCTAAGATTTAGAACCAAAAGAAATGATTTGAGTCGTCATATAAGATTGTTTTTCTAGTGTGAGAGTTGACGGAACAACCGAAATGCTGTTAAATCGTGTACTATCCCACTAACAGGAAATGAAGTAAGGGCAGGGCCACACTGTGTGACATGTCATATCGCTGATTTACAAAACCACTATCAAAGTCATCAAGAGAAATTCCAATGTAGACATCGATTTGATCGTTACGTTGCACTGGGAAAATAATCATGTTTAATAAGAAAATTGAGAATGGAATGTGATAATCAAGGCATCCTACATTATTATATGATCTTGGCGGCGATATATAATCTAGCCTGTTGATGGGTGAATGGAATGTATGATAATCAAGGCATCCTACATTACTATATGATCATGGCGGCGATATAAAACATAGCCTGATGATGGTTTTGTAATAAAACCGATATATTGCTCACTGTCCAATTCTATTCGATGTTGAATATCCGACTACGAATATGAATATCGTTAATACATTCAATTTGTTTTACCTAAAACTATCAGCCTGTCCTGGATATAAAAGCTTAAGCTTAAACATTTTTTTTCTATATTTCTAGTTTTATCGATTACTAAAGCAGTATTTACTTTAAAACTAAGAAAATGTTTCTTTTAATTTGATATGCTCACATTTCTATATAAAATTAGGAAAGAAATGTTTTTAATATCATTCAACTTGATGTGGAGAAAAATAATAAGCTACGCAGGTTATTACAATGTGCGACGAATTATCTACGCTCGAAACTTATGTAAAACGCTGGGCTATTATAGGTCACAACCAACCCGTGCGTATTTGTTTACAATATTCTCCCTTCTCAACACCCTGCAGTTTCACTTGCCCTCCTTTCAAGATCGCATTAACTTCAGCTACAAATTCATCAACTTTCATCACAACCTTTACGAGTTTGTAAAACTGCGAACATTTGACCCTAAGTAGGTGACGAGTTATTTTAACGGGATTTCTCGTAGTGCGCCAATGAAAGTAAATAAGTTCTGAGAGACTAGTGGATTTATTAAAGAAGAAAGTGCAACGACTATTTCAGATGTGTGGCGATTTTAATAAGTGTGTTTTTAATCAAAGAGGGTGTATCGAAAAGCCATCAGCCCAGATCAACCGTTGATAATTACTACGCGATGAGCTTAACTTATTCTTCCCCAGCAGTATCAAAGTACTTTTTCATTCTAACGGAAAACTTAAACTCAGAATATCAAGAAAAATGAGATGGTCATGCGCTAAGATAACAATACAACTAAGCAACATGATATTAAACTCAAGAAACATAAATACAGAGAGCTTTTGATTACATACCATGATAAATAAATTATGTTCATGAAACAGAGAACAAAGATTTCAATCCAATAATCTTAACAATACCTTGATTTCTACTTTTCAAGTGAGACGAGTTTTGACTTTAAAACAAGTGACGTAAAAGCATTTTCAACATGAGCTTTCTTCAGCAGAAATTTGGTGATATTTTAATGACAGCTATCAACGAACACTATGGAGCCAATGAGGTCTATAAAACCAGCTAGCTTCACGCGTATATAGTACTCTTTCAAGCAAATGTTGTCTCACTCAGACTAGGAGTTGTATTTGGATTAAGAAGAGAGATTAAAACTTACCAAGAGCTGATGTGTTCATCTTGCCCTGTTTCAATGACGATGTTCCTCTCAAGATGACAGTTTCCTGTGTCTAAATCGATCCCCTTGATGTTTTAAAACCAAGGCTCATGTTACTCCCTACATGGGTGTGAGAGCCACTCATGCGTCACCCAATAACATAACATTGGTGCTAAAACATCTATAGTCGATAAAAGCAAAGCTGAATAAAGCATTGTCCTCTAAACACTTCCTTTTAAGATGGTTGTGAAAGCTAGTGAAGATTGCCAACATTACATCTGTGTGAGTTTAAGTTCTGGAAAGAAGTGAAACAGCTGTAGTTCAACTTGTTTTCGTGAATGCCTTAAGTTTCGGTATCGAAAACGCTTAGCAATAAAGTTATTGATCATTAATGGAATAGTTTTGTTATCATCTTCTAAAGAAAAATACATAGTGCTTTAGTTTTAGAATTCAGTGCTGAGAGCTGTGAACTTGGTTACAAAATATGGAAAATCAAAATGGAATTTTCTTTTAAATGTAGAAGAAGAACTTGTTGACAGTTTTCGTATCTTTGGATGGGTGTGTGGATAAATACTTTCACCAATGATATTTTGGTGGGATTTTTGTTAGTCAGAAGAGTTAGGATGGAAAAATGGAAATTGAAAAAGAAAAAAAAAGGAGAATTATCACCGTGTATATATTGAATACAGTCTATGTCATTCTTTATAAAATTTTTGATATATAGCGCGCTCTGATTGCATGGCTGACGACCGTGTTTATATCAGAGGACATAGACACGGCACCGGCAAAATTTTCTATTCGCTCGAAAAATTTTATAAAAGAATATAAAACGGCCGCTTGTGTCTCTGGCCTCTGATATAAACACGGTGGGATTGGAGTTGAAAAACACTCGAGAAGCAAGAGAAACACTCGCTCGTGTTCCTAAGCTTGCTTCTCTCGTGTTTTTCGAACTCCCACCGTGTTTATATCAGAGGACAGAGACACGTGCGACGTTTTATATTTCTTAAGTAGAGAAGTAAAAACTGGGAAACAACAAACTCGCAGAGGTCTTTTTACCTGCAAATATGAAAAAATTATCAAACGAAAATAAAGCAAGTTATTTAATCAAAGAAATATTGTAAGTCTGAAAACACCTCAAATACATTTCTTAGCTCTCCCACAATTCGCTACAAATCGCCCTAGGCAATTCGTGAGCAACCCAGCATTTAACGTCTATTTTAAAAAGTAACAAACAGCAGGAAACCACAACGTGAAAAGTGTAGAAAGGCTGCATTAATACTATACTTAGCGAATGAAGAGGTCACCAAACTATTCCGAAAGAGTTTGAGGTCAGCATTTCGTCAAAACAATGTTTTAGTGTTTATTCTAGCATTCTTGACCGGTTATCATTGAGAGACATAACAGGATAGCCTTTAGATAAATAATGACATTCACAGCCAACGCAAGATAGCAGGCTGTCAATTATGTTAGATATACATGAATCTTATCGAAAAGCAATTAAATCAAGCCTTTTACTGCCTTAAGCTACTTCACCTCATGGCACGCCACAGGTAGCCCATACCATTTTATATTGAAAATACTACAAAGGTACAGAAAATGAAGAGTAGAAGGACGGCTTTATTGCTAACGTCACATTATTGACTTTATCATATCTGGTGTAGTTTCAAAGTGAAAAGGAAAAATCACATCACTAGTGTGTGGCTAAGATTAGGTTTTCTTTTTGTAAAAAAGGATAAAACAAAAGACAGCATGATGTATAACGAAACATCGCGACGCAGATTGCCCGGTTCCGAATGAAGATCTTTTTTAAGCACATCCAAAAATAAACCTTTCGAGCGAAGGACTTCATTTTCTTTCAGGGTTCAATGCGTAGAAGACGAAAAAGCAACAAAAACTACTCGTATCTGTTAAACCTTACTCCAAGAAAACATATGGCTCTCGCTCTTTCTCTGTTGCTGCCCCTACTTTATGGAACTCTCTCCCATCTGATTTAAGAAACATTMACTCTTTGCTGTCCTTTAAGAAAGAACTCAAAACTTATTTGTTTAGTTTAGCTTTTAGAGTTTAATTTGTTTGTTAGTTATATCAGAGCGCACATAGAACAGACTTGTATATGCGCTATAGAAGTTT